CTTGTAGAGGGATCGGAACCGACCAGCAGCCAGGCAGACTGACTGCCTGGCAAACAGATATCGAAGTGTTCGAGTTGTCGAGGCGACTTTATCACCGTTTAATTGAATTGAATAAACTTATCTTAATGGATAGCGACCTTCGAATATCTTGTTCGCTGAAATGGCCCCCGCTCGCTGCTCCAGCCCTCGCTCGCTCACTCGTCGGTTCATTCGATCGCTTGCGCGGTCGGTCGCATTGGCTCGAAATCGTCCGAAGTTGGCGACTTGATGTTTTAATCTCGTCGTTCCGACAGAGAAATTTAGTATCGCTGCTGAATTGGAGTCGACTTTGCGATGGTTTCGCGAATGTCACAGAGCGCAGCGAACCCTCCGTTTCAACAGCAATCATCGTTCGTTCAGATCGATCAATTCGACGATTGAAAGCGATCAAACATTCCTTCTCGGATCCAGACAGGAAGCGGGATTCCGGCAAGGAGAAGCGATGTCAGAAGTTCCCAGTCACGGGAGAGGGCTCGGCCGAGCGTTCTGCTCATTATTAAACACGTACATGCAAGTAAATTTCCAAAATGAAGACCGTAGATTGCTGTTGCCGTGTCAAGGGAAGTTTAAATGTTTTTCGTCTTCCTTTCTGCGATGCGGAGCTGTTGGCATCGATTTCTCGCGATACAGATGTCTAATTCTAACTATAAGAAGGACGGAGACAAGTCGTCATCGGCCATCACTTCAGCAAGAAAATTTTGGCTGGCATTCTCACTCAGGCGCCGGAAGTCCAATCGCTCCGGAACCCTCCGAATTTTAATTACAAGTCAATCAGCCGAACCGCCGATCGATACGTACAGGAAGCTCTGGCAAGACCGGGTCCCTCTGAGACCCGTCGATCGGCATCCTGTGACCGTAGAGCTCCAAGAGAGCTCATATAACACTGATATCTTAATCGAACTCTCTATTCTTATTTGGGAAACGAGTTTCGAGTATTCCCTCCCCTCCTTCCGTGGACAGCATCGTCGATTTGCGCTACGCCGAGGCTGTTGATGCTGCTGCGGTGAGCCGAGTTGTCGATTAGCCGATCATATCTCAGAGCACGACACCGATCGAACAAGAGCGGGTGTTCTGAAAAGAAAGCGACCGTAAAATAAGTACCGAGCACCAAGCCAGTGGAAGAGCCAGTCAGATTAACGTGGCCATGTTTTCGTGAAATGGTGTTATAATGTTATTAGGGGTCATAAAAAAGGAATGGTACTTCGTCGGGTTATGCCACCTTGTCACGCAGCATCGGAAACTCGTCTCTTACTCGAGCGTTCAGCGAGTCTCGTGGCTGACATCCAGCTCAGACTCCGCCAAATGACGTGCAACGAAAACACGATTCGACCGACGCGTATGGAGTTACGTTCTCCTGCCTTCGCCATCACCCCGTGCCTGCAATAATCCTGGCTTAGTCGACTATTTGTCGAAAAACATCGAGAAGTCAGTTGTCCTCGTCGGGGAAAGCAAGTAGGTAGGTCGGTCTCGATTTGGCTCGGATGAAGACATCTCGATTCGACGAATGCCATTGAGAGCTGTTTCGTCAAGTGCGATCGGAGCATCGGGACCTTTTTCTTTTTCGTGTCCGCGTGAGGAGAAAAGACAGAAACCGGGTCGTTTCTGGTCGGTCGCATGGTCGTTTTTCCTAATGTGACACCATCGCGACGCTATCAAGCCACTTCGTGAGCTAATGCTGCTTACAATCTTAATTCGGTCTAGCATTTACATTTCGACTGTACAAGGAACACACTCGCGATACAGTCGAAGTAAAAAGAAATTAAAGGAACAGATAACAGACGCTTTGACAATCCCCTTCAATGGCGACTTTGGCTATCCAGACCGTCTGTCGCTCCGAGAGATCTCTTGATTTTCGTCTCACATGCGAGGTGTCAGTTGAGTCGAATCGCGCTCAGTCTAGAAATCGGTCTCCCTGATTGTCTCTCGTCGACATCATCCGGCAGATATCTAGCTCCCTGCAACTCGAATCGTTCACAACAAATACGATAGCGGCGGCAGCTGTTGTTCAGAATGTTTTGATGGATTCGATGATGAGAGCGAGTGATCAACAGAGCAGGGAATCCTGTTGAATGAACGCTTCTCTGTGCCGCGGCCCCGCTGCAGGACGAGCGGCCTCGTAGAGAGTCGGTTAGCAGCGCAGCAATCAAGTCGCGCTCGGGAGGGCACTCGTTGTAAATCAATCCACTTAAGGGAAAATTAATTACTCCCAAAATAAACACAGCAGAATAACACGCGGTCGACGATCACCTGAAAACCTCGACTCATTTGAATGTTCTCGTTTACCGTTCAGACATCAAAAGCGAACTGGCGTCGCAACGTGCACGCGATCGTCGACCGCGAAATCCAGAATGAGCGCTCGGAAGACCTCGGGTCGGGATCCTGGATGGGAGAGGCTTCGACAGGGAATCTCCGCGACTCGCGTCATGTGCGCTCTCTAGCTGATTCCTATCGGAACGGTTTCCGCCGAGGAGACTCGTTCTGATGAATGCTCCTCTGCAGCGTGTTCAATCATTCCAACAATTTTTTTGATCGCAAGGCGAGGACCCGTGTGCGAGAGAGGCTCCTGTCCGTCCGATTATTCGAGCAGATAGTTATCTGAGAGCCATAAATCCAGCTTCAAGTACTTCAGAACTATCAAGTGGCTCCTCATTGTTCGTCTTTCCTCTTGGTGTCATGACTCGTCAGACAAGCCATTGAGCCGGCCGCGGCCGGCGGGCTCGCTTGCTTGTCCGCCCGTTTGACTCGACTGACAAACTGGCTACCTGAATGGGTCACCAGCTAATAGTTGGTAAGCTCATCCAACTCGGCCGCCTGCTTGACTGACTTCTGAACCTAAATGGGTGGTAATTACGCTTAGAATCATTCACACAGTTAGTCTTAATGGGCTGTCCGAACGGCGGAACGCTCTTAAGGTTCGTGGCATCATCATAACTGTCAACGCCACCATCATGGTCTGGATGATGTTATATTATTAATTTATGAAATACTCGTGGCTCCTCAACCAACAAAGAGATGCGGGGAAACGCTCGAGCTATGAGTAGAGTCCCAATTACGAGATTACTGAATGGACGATCCTTGATATCATATGTGATAATTTTATTGGATTCCCATCGGTCTCGATCGGGGACACGTTCATTGACACATCCCTGCGATTCCTTGCAACGAATGTCTTCAGAACTCTTTCGGATCCAGTGAAGTCGAACACACAGTCGGCAATGAAAATGCTGATCAGGGCGTCGTCCCGGCCGTCATTGGAAGAGCAGATAGAAATTCGAACGACAACACCGGCGTCAACGTCGTCGTCGAGAACATCTACGATGACGACGTTCTGTTGATGCCGTCATCCAAAACTGTGCAGAAAACCGCATTGAGAGCAATTTATGTGGCGCCAACAAGTTTTTTCGTCGAGACCATGCTCGTAAAATAGGTACGTTGACATGAACCCCGTTGACGGTCGCTCCACTTGTGATATACACATCTGCGTGAGCGTGTGAGTTTCCCCTCCTCGATGTCGGAAGGAGTCGATACCAGGATGCATGTAGTCGCAGAGAAGTATCCCGGATGCGAGTAAAAATCCGCTGGAAATACCTCGATGCGCAATGTAGTCGTCTGAATACTCTCCGGGAATAAATTATTACCGTTCGTTTGGGATTTCTCTGAGCAGAACGATTGTCGTTCACCCTCAGAGAGGAGAGAAACACTCATTTCCATCTGGATTTTGCGCGTCGTGACTTTTTTCCGTCGTTCCCCCAGTCGTGAGCCTTCCCCCAATCGCGGATCAGTATTGAGACCATACGGTACCCCCCCCCCCCTGCGATTATCGAATATGCGTCCAATATACGGAGCAGTTTCATCTCTTCTCCCCGCCATAATTGCCATAGGGGATCGATGAAGCGACTCACTGCTCAATCCAGGACATCTTGCCGCAGAGCCGAGCGGCAATGGTAGAACAACCTTTCGGTGGAGTCGCTTTCGACGACGAGCGTCAACCTGTCATCCCGCTGGCCATCCTGCTAGGCCTCCCTGTCCACGAAGCGGAAACCTGTGTGTTGAGACGGAATTGCTTGTTCTACAAGACTAAAGTGCCGGCAAGTTGGTCGATGATGTCGTTCCGCCGTGTATGGAGCCAGCTGCGCGTAATATGAGAGCAGCTCTGCTGTTTGGAGGCTTAGCGAACTGTTTCATCAGTGGCGATTCGCTAAATAGTCCGCTGCCGGTCGAGTCGGATGAAATCCCAATCACCTGAGCAGCGACTGTATTGGGATCGATTCATAGTTTTCTTCTTGTCGCCCATCATGACGGGGAAGAATGATATCACAGAGGATCCTGCAGAAGCTTTTCGGTTCCTGCGGAAATTTTTTTAGGAACTGAAGCCATCCGCTTTTTTGAAGAGTTAGCGTTCTAGGGAAGCATAAAGAAGTAGAATGGCTTACGCTAAATGTGCGCTGATGGCTGGCGACGCGGCGCCGGCTGTAAGGGTGTAATGAGGGAACTCGCTGTGAAACGGAAGATGAGTGTCAAAAGATACACGGAACCAGATCGCTGGGAGATATCCGACTTCTCTACCCCCGTTCTCGGTGGCGTTTAGTTTCATTCCATTTCGCGCGGCTCGTTCGGAAAATTTATGTCCGACCTTTTCTTAGTTACCCAAGCTATCTCAGACGCTCGTGGACGTACATCACGGGAACATCGTTCGGGAAGAGAGCTGTTATTGTTCGTCATTCTCTTCCTCATTACAGTAATGAGAGTTCAGAATTCCATCGTATTCCTCGCAGCTCGTGCCCAAGCTTAGTTCCGTTTTGGTTCCGATTCCGTCTGAATCGCTCTGAGTCGCACAGTCCTTCTTGATCCCACAGTTCGTGATATGTTGGAATGTCTCGGTCGTATCAGACAGGAGATCACAGGCTGCTCAAAAATTCGGAAAAAGCCGTCATTGAAACCCATGAATTTTCACGTTGCAGGTTCTGCCTTCCGTGGGGGCTTCCCGCCGAAACTCGGCTTAGAAAATTACGCTCACGCTTTCCAATTACTGGCCGGACCGAATGGATGCCCAAGGAGACGCGGCCGTCAGACCTACACTAGGTGAGCTCGACTTCCGCGCGAACCGCGCCTCGACCCGCTGTCGCCGAGCTGCCGCCGGGCTCCGATCGACGATTTTCTGTGGAAAAATTTGAGTTGAAATAAGTCAATTTTGAATTCTTCCTCGCTCTCACAGGTATCAAACTCTAGAATTGGAGAAGGAATTCCATTTCAACCACTATTTAACTCGACGCCGTCGAATCGAAATCGCTCATGCGCTGTGTCTCACCGAGCGGCAAATCAAAATTTGGTTCCAAAATCGGCGAATGAAGCTCAAGAAAGAGACCCGCGCTGCAAAGGACGGCGATGACAGCAAGGACGGCGAGGCAGAAGAAACGAAAGAAAAGTTAGTATCTGGTCCCGGGCAGTTTCAGCTGTCTTTTACACGAAGAGCCTCCGATCCTGGGACCCGCTTATCGCACCTATGAAATGCTCAATATTTGATTACTCCAGGGGAAGAAGCTCTACGGATGCTGATACGACTACGTTGGCGAGCGACAGCGCCGACTCGGACGACGAGGAGGTGGATCCAGTCGGCGAGGAAAAAGAATGCAAGGAGGTTTCGAACCAGGACTCGAACTCCAACTCGAGCGCTTCGGGTGCCCCACTGGCGCTCTCCAGAGAGCCGACCGAGACTAAGATCGGGAGTCCTCAACTGCAACAAGCTAGTCCAGTCCCCTTCAACTACAGGTCAGTGGCTCCCTCGACAATCCTTATGATCGACCGCATCCGGGTGGAGACGAAGATGGGTTGATTCTCCTAAATGTAGAGTATAGAGGCTCGTGTTCCGGCGGCAAGCGGCGCACGAGATTCCCACCGGCTGGTGCAGCACAAGGCCGTCATTGATAGGAGACTGTTTCTCTCTACAGCATACCACATCTGAGCAATCTCCAGCAGATGTCCCAACATGTTTCCCAGCAGATCTCTCAAATACCCGCGAACTTCTTCCCTCTAACTTTCGGGCAGCCAGCTCCACCGGCAGAAGGCGTATCCCCGCCGCCCGAGAGCGCGCGTCAGTGAGCAGAACGCGACCGTACAATTTCCGGGATCGGAGGCGTCCCGGGATTTTTGTGCGTCATGCTGAAAATAGGGGAGGGAATCCGACCTCGGGCTCTCAGTCCCGGGAAGAGTCCCATCTAGCTCTCCTCCCAGAAGAAATCCTGAGTACGCGCCTGTTCGGAATCGTTCGGTCTATCATCTCCGCGAGGCAGCGGTTCCTGGGTTCTGCAGCCCGAGAGCCGTCTGCGGAAGAGTGCCCTTTGTACAAAGAGTGAAAAATCGGATGAATGCTTTATTCCGAAAAGACGTGAAAGGAAATTATGTACGAAGCTCGAGTGGAATATTTACGCGACTCCTGTTGGATGATATCTCCGTGAAGCCACCGTGTTCCGGCCCTCTACCTTGCTTACCTCACGTGTTGAATATCTTACACATGGAAAACTCCGCAGAACTCCACGGTGCTGAGATGTCGCGGACAAGTTGAGTGTAGTTGACATTATTCGGACCGCTTCATCCAGCGAAGCAACGACGACCGGAGTCAGGACTATATTAGTCAGAGAAGCGTGGCGAATAATTCTTAGTAATTTGCCTATGTGTGCATTGTGCCTACATTGAAAGAGCGTACCTATGAATAAATTGATGTGCAATTTCCATGTTCTGCTTTCTTTCTGATATGTCCCACGATGGCTGTTCGACCGACTCGAGATTCCCCTGGGGTCTTGTGATTGGGGAAAAAATCGTACGGATTTCGAACTTTTCCCAAAGTGTACTTCGAAAATCGTTCAACGAAGATGGTTTCCGAGAATGTCGGAGACGGCTCTGGAACTCGACGAAGATCCTCTGGAACTGTGTGTCCGGCACCCTCAGACTGCGGGGTCATGCAGGCGTACTATCTGCCCATCATTTCCATGCATGTCCAATGGTGTATATATACACATATTGATAGAAGTCCGCTCGAGTAGCACAGCGTACCGGGCGGAGCGTGAGTCACAAGTGACTTTCTTGAAATCTTCCTTCAGGATCATCATTGATCCGGATCGCTTCGCATAGGAGAGCGGCACATTTGAGAACTTCTCGAGGAATCATTCCCCGCTCTGACTTCAACTTCCTCGAGGAATCTCTAGCCAGAAGCATGCATGATTTAGATCGTGGAGGCGGCGCAGACTATCTGCTTCGATTCTATCGTTGTACAATAATGAATAATCAAATGAGTCGGACCAAAAAAAGTGCTGTCGTAGAGGTTGAACTCTACGTGTCTTCGACTTCACGGATGAATCGCAGAAATTTTTCTCTGGTCGACCAGCCCCTCGCATGGATGTTGATGCCGATGTACATGGCTTAGCTTGTACTCTCAGTTTGACGCTGAATCGGAAGGGCCCAGGTTTGGAACCAGCCCGCGCAATGGTGGTAGAATTTTCCCTTCTTCCGCTGACACTTCTGGAACTTTTCTATCGATCGATTGATCTGTCGGCTAAGTTGGGCTCTGAAGTCGTGTAAATAGTCTACCTTGTGTGATCTCTCAGCTCCGATCATGCGCAATCAATCCCTTTAGTGTTCATTTGAAAAAGCCGCGAGGCAGCCAGGGGTAGTTTAGCGCGGCACGCGGCGATTTTGAGAGCAGTCTCCCGCTTTCGCCCATCGTGCTGGATGCTGCCCGATCTCGATATGCGACCACAGATAACCTCAATCAGAGGAGCGTCTCCGATGGACGCCCCAGAGTGATGCTCTCTGATGGAACAAATATCCACGGGTACGATAATCTCAATACAGAAGCTGGGGATCACGATTCGAGCGATATCTCGCCCATTTACGGCTTTTCCGCGGTTTTCCGGAAAATAAGGCCCTTAGCGCTAAAAAGCGCAAAAATCGGTTATCACCTCTAGAGAGCTGAGGTTTTTACGAGCAATTAAAAAAAATCAGAGTGGGTACATTTGGGTACAGTGTCCAAATGCGGCTCTAAAGGTTTCGGCCATTTTTCGAAAGCCAGAGAGAAATGCATGGTTCGTATTAAGTCAAAACGCTTCCGTTCTCATGGCCCCACACGGATCCATACCCATCAAGACCTTCTCCCCACTCTTTTTGGTCACTTTTTGCCTTAAACATCGGAAATCGAAAAAATAATTTTGTCCACCTAAGATCAACTTTTGACCACTATGCGGCGATGTAAGTCAAGGGCTGAAGCCGGCCTCTATCTCATCCCCGAAGAAGTTGGACCCCGGAATCTCATAACGAGCCCCGCGAAGTTGTGGCTCCTTGTGTGGATTGCTTCTTCCGCGCCCCGCAGCCTCTCCACCCGGATTTCGATGTTTGGAGCGGAGCTGAGTGATGAGAGGCCGCCCAATGACGCTCGATTTTTCAGCAAAGATCATCAGAATTACTCCCTTTCTACGCCTTCTTGATAGACTTCGCTTTTCTCCGATTCGACTCCGCGGCCTCCTTGCACGGAGATCCCACGCAGCTGAGATCAACCAACCTGCGGTCGAGCTCACGCATGGTCGCAAAGGAAGGACGGACGCGTACGCTATGTCGGAGGGTAATAAAAATCGAATTGCCATTGCTAGATGGGCGCAGGGCTCCGTCGACATGAACTCGGCACTCCACGCGCGAGCATAATCTTGGCATCCTCCCCGGGGAGCATATGATAGCCGCCTCCTCTTGTTGGAGAACAAGAAGTCTTCTCAAGCTCCGCTCTCGAGAGAGCGATCGGAAGTCTATTGTTTACACTCGACAAATTTGAATTCCGCGCCAAGTTAACCCAGTCTCCACATGGCAGAATGCTAGTTTCCTAGCCGCGGTGGGGCCGCTGATGCGGCAGGGGGCGAATCGGCTGTCTGCCATACTGCTTCGCGATTCGCGATCGGATGTCGATGCGATATGCAATGCGTTCTGCATCGCAGATTGCGGGCGGGCTTGCGGGACGGAGAACCAAAGAGAAAGTGGTTCTCGTCGCTTGCGGCTCTTTCAATCCAATCACGAATATGCACCTGAGGATGTTCGAGACCGCGCGCGATTCCCTCAGAGACACCGGTGAATGACTCGTCCATGATTTATATTGTCGCTCACAGCAGAAATCGCCGATTGCTTCAGCGAGCATTTTCCGGAAAATTAAAGGTTTTCCATGATGTGATCCGGGGGGTTATCTCACCCACGCATGATGCCTATGGAAAGGCTGGATTGGCAGGTGCTGCGCACAGGATTGAGATGTGCCGTTTGGCCCTCCAAGTAAGTTTTTTTTTCCTCTTTTCCGAAAAGAATACATTAGAATCATGACAAGTGAGCGTCGAAGCAACTTACATGCTCTTCCATCTCGTAGAGCTCGGATTGGATCTCTGTAGACACGTGGGAAGTCTCTCAAGAAGGTTGGACTCGCACGCTCAAAGTACTCGAGCACTTCCGTGCGTTCTTCAACGATAGAGATACAGAGTCTTCGCCAGGGGAAGCGGTAAAACCGACTGAGTCAACCGGGAGAGAGGAGCAAGTTGGGGTGCGACTCCTGTGCGGAGGAGATCTCCTCGAGAGTTTCGCAAAACCTGGTCTGTGGGAGGACGAGGACATACGGAAGATCGTTGGGGATTTTGGCCTGGTCAGTAGATAGTCGACGCCCTATACTCCTCCTGGCTGTAGACCAGTTCATACATTCCTACCAATCGTGTCAGGAATGCTGCATGGGATTCAGGAGAGAATAATAAATTTCCTCCCCCTCTTATAGGTTGTTATAGGCAGGAGCTCCTCGAATCCGGAAAAATTCATCTATGATCATGACATAGTCTACGAGAACAGGCGGAACATCCATATAGCTACGGAGTGGTTCAGCAACGACGTCTCCAGCACCAAAGTTAGGAATGCTGTACGTCGTGGTGAGAGCATAAAATACGTCGTTCAGGTGGGTGAATTCGGGAATTGACGAGAATCGAATCTCACCGTTAGAGGCACGGACTCAAAATCGGCTCATGTTTCCAGGACTCTGTGATCGATTACATAGCCCAGAAGAGACTTTATCGGGAGAAATAAATATCAAGACGACATTCTGAAGCTTTTCTTGCGAAACATCTCCACCCATTTTTCCTCATCCGGGTCCATGACCCCTACCCCGAGTGAGCGAACGAGAGTCGGACCATGCGAGCGGCAATGGACTCATCCTCCGATTCTGAAGGACTTTGGTCATTCAGCGTATTTCCAAGAATATCCTCTGCGTGATGGATATAGACTTGATATAGACATGTGCTCAACGGTCGTAACAAGCTTCCGGGCTGAGCCGAGGCCTACGGTGCGGCCCCGACGTTGTGAACATCCGCAGACTTCGCTCGGGAGACTCCCGCATACCACCGAATGTGGGATGGGAAGAAACTTCTCTTGGGCGCACTGTTGCTCGATCCAGTCCAGAAAACGATGGCTCCAAGATTCCGGAGAAGCTCTACCTGACTGTTATGAACAAATTGAAGAGAATCTGAGAATCCACAACCAGAGAATTCTATGGGGGCTGAAAATGGTTCTGCATGTAGCAAAACAACGAGGAATGAGACTCACAAGGGGAGAGAGGTACAGAAACCAGAATATGCAGGAACGTTCGAATACACGGCGGATGAAGGCGCAGAAAGGTATCTGAGGTGATACATGAATCGCAAGAGTGGGAATAGTACTTCCTCCTGTAGAGGGGACATAGGCCGAGCGAGACGCGGAGCAATCAAACTGCAAACTGGCACAATCGTTGAGACTGAATGGGCTTCGCGAAAGCTGAAGGAACGAGAGATTTCGGCCCAAGACTCGGAGGGAATACTGCTCGAATAAAGTGCTCTGAACTCCGGAGCAATATTCCAGGCTACGGGGCGAAGGCAAATAGAGTACACAGCTCCGTGAAATTTCAAGTGAAATCCCAAATGAAAATCCTTATCCAAAAACTGCTCCAACCGGAGAGCTTTGGGACTGGAGATGAGAGGCAACCCGTAATAGCGCATCGCTCTGCTTGTTCCGTACACTAATCGAAAGTAGCTCAATCGGGATTCTCTCAGCTCTCTTGATAATCGAAATCACGGAGCACAGGGGTACTGTACACGTCTTCTCCTCCATCTCGCTCGCTTGACGTCAGTTCGTCACAGGGAGAGTGTCCGGTGCGGCGAGGATTGGGCCTCCAGCGACCGAATCACGCCCGGTCTAGTCCGAGGAACGCTCATTTGGGAAGAGGACATTTATTCGAGGGAATATGGCCATGTTGGCTGGCATCTATGAGCTCTTATATGAACACCTTATCACTGACGTCATTGGATTTCTGCTGAGCTATGCGTTCGTCATAATTGAAGATGTGCCTGAACTTCGATCTGGGATCACATGGATCCGTTACACCAGGCCCTTGTTTGCCGAGATGCAGAGGTTCTAAATAGTAAGGGTAGGGTGCTTTGGTTGTCCTTCCGAAAGCGTTGTCGAAGAAGGCGAGTTTACCATCGCTGGTGTGGTGAGTGCTGTAAATGTCTCCGTTGAAACAAATGCAGAGATACGATCCGTTGGCTTGCTTAGCGCAGAGGGTTCTCTGAACGCCACGACAGGCGCGATCGCAATTGAACTCCTCCATCACGTCACATTTCGTCTTTGGTGAATCTTCCGAGAAAAGAAGGCTGAGAATACTGGGGAAACCGAGAATCAATTCTCGAGGGAGCGTGGGACTCTTTCATTTCTAGAAATCTCGGTAATAATCGAATAACAAGAGTTCGAGTTGCTCCGATATGGGAACTGTGAATTATTAGATTTTCTCGGTTGCTCACCTACAGGCCGCGTCGTGACTTCGTCTCCGAAAGCTAAGGATGCTCCAATGAAAACCGAGAGGACAAGGGAATGCTTCACAAACTGCATGATTCCAGAATGATTCCCGTGATTGATAGCCTTGCCTCAAAAGTTCACTGCACTGGCGGCCACTCCGAGCGGGTTCTTCTCCACTGACGGCAGGAAGATGATGATCAACTGTCCGGATCGCTCGGTCGTCGGTGGCAAGTGATTCGGAGGAAACGACCAATCTGCGCTTAGTAGAGGATCTTGAATCTCCACCAGAGAATGACCTCAGCCGGGCCGCTGCGACAGGGGAGGGACATTCCTTTCCCAAGGCTCTCGATCACTACGTTTTTCCATTCCGCATTCTCAGACACGAGTCGCCGTTCCTCCGTTCTAATCGGCAAAGGATAGACCTCGACGTATTGCTGCATCACAAGACTTCTGGATCTCGTACATTTTCCAGCTTCACATGATTTATTCAGAACGGACTAGGACAGCGCTGCTGAAAATTCTCTTTAGGTACATATATTACAAAGGAGCATTGCGGTACAGACTCGGGTTCTCCCAGCAGGCGGGAAAGTCGATTCACGCAGGAGTTCTCGGATGGATCTCTCCCTAGACGGCGACGTTCGGAATGTAGATCGAGACTGAGCAGAGGCAGGTGAAGGCTACACCGAATTGGGGCCGGCAGGTGAAGGAGTGAATTTTCCGCTCTTCGCACTCCCTGTAGCAACGTTCGCTCTGTTCAACTTTGCATTCAGCTGTGGAATCGAGAAAACAATTCAAAATGAAAGAAATATATTCGGCTCCTCTGAACTCGTCGAGAGGTCTCGATTGTCTAGACAGACTTCAAAGTACCAGGGATGACCTTGGAATTTTGAGTTTTCCAAGAAGAAACTTGTGCACAGCGCGAACTTACGCAGATTTTTCCAGCTCTGAGTTGGAACGGTGCCCTGTTGATAGTGGATCACTGGCGTCGTCATATGCGGTCCGTACACTCCTGTGTTGCGACCGTACTGAACGATCTGACCGTTGGGGAATCTCACAATCTGGCCCTGCTCATGACCACCCTGGTTGGTGTAAGGATCCCATTGTCGCGTCGGGAGATGAGTCGGGTAGCTCCTGTTCCGAGTGGAGAAGCCGCGGTTCCAAGCTTTGGTTGAGTACTCCCAAGGTCTCGTTTCCCAGGGACGGGTTGGCCTTTTAGTAGTAGTGTTCTCGGGGTAGGTCACCGGGTAACTCGATCCAGCAATCAAGCCGAGCGACGCAAAGAAGAAAACGGCGGAAATCATCGTCTACTTAGCAGTCGAAGATTTCGCTGTGCGAGTTCCGATGGTTTTGGATGTTACCAGGGCTTAGAGAGGAAGAGTAGAGTAGTGTCCGAGCAGCTTGGTGCAGCACATAAATACCCTCGTGCCGGCGATGGGGTCTCTCCAGTGAGCTGACATTGAAAACATGCTGATCTACCCGATTAGAAAAGAGAAAGAAGGAGAATTGAACACATCTATTAAGAGCCATTATGCCCACAACGTACTCGACACGTCAATCCGCTCGTGACGTAATTGTCCAGCGCGAGCATGGGCAAGAGACATGCACCGACAGCGCGTAACCCGCAAACACTCAGACCTCCGTCGAGTGATTCTTCTTCCACGAAGAATTCCGACACCGGTGAGGACATCGTGTCGTTCGAACTCGCCTCGATCGAAACCTTGAGATCATTCGGTACCCTCGGGCTACCGTCCACACGCGAACGGTGATAGCCGTTCGAGCTGACAAGCTCGCATTCCTCGATCGGAATTCCTTATACCTTCGGTGACCTTCAGGATTGTTCCTCGTGAATTCCGATGCTGGATCTCTGACAATCATTGCGCTTCTAGCGACTCGACCTCTCGGCTTCCCTTCGGTGTCGAAGATGGTGAGTTTCATTGCGGCCGCTCTTTGTCGGGTTTCTTCCCGAGGATTTTATGCAACGTATCGTCGGTATGACCTTACGTCTAGACTTCAAGACGTAACCCGTTTCGCCCAAAAAGCTCAGATCCGTACTCTCTCATTGTCAGACTCGTTGACGTATGAGACCGTTGCCCTCTGGTGGTTTCGGATGCGATTCATTGGATCGGATGGCTGTCAAACGACGCAAAACCAGCAATGCTCAGCGTTTCAAGGCTCATGTCGCTCTGCGACGACACCGATCGACTAGATTCATGTGGGTTCTCGAAGTTTCCCTAGTCTCTGGTGGTTTCCTTCGACCATCGGAGGTACTCCGGGGGATGATGCTCAGTGTTTCATTTAATTGTTCCAGATCACCCGACGCTCAGAGATAAATGCTCCGCTCCGCGGCTCCCGTCAACAAGTTCATCAATACTATCAATAGGTGGCTAGATTAAAACTCCGAGGACTAACATAGCAGAGAGATATCGTCGAGAGTGGATGTGTCCTTGCAGCACCTTAATATTGCTCTTCCCAATTTTTGGGAGCGTTTGTGTTGAAAAGTAGGAATCAAAGAGGACACGAGGTGTAGCGCACTAGGCCTGAAAGCTGGAAGAGGAGATGATTCTCTTTTATTTCAACGATAGAATAACGGTAACGAATACATGGCGGCGCTCGCGCAGACGGCGTAGTGGCGCTACTGCTCACACCGATGCCGCGTATCTTTCAACACTCCCCCTTGCACAGCATCTGCTGGGCGCGCTCTCACTGGAGCCCTAACTTCCGTCTGCAGTGGTTGAATTTTTCGTGACTCACAGACTCTTCGTAAAGATGTCGGCGGTCATCTCATTCGTCGAGATGTAAACGATGCTTACAGATCCATCCGTTACCATGTGTCCATGTCGCGAATGAAATTGTGTCTCATATCTATATGCTTCGTTTTCGCGTGGTAGACGTTGTTATCGCTGAGGAGAATGGCGCCCTTGTTGTCGCATCGAAGGGTCATTGGACGCGGAATTTTTACCGTAGGGATCTCACCGAAGTTCTGACGCCATTTGATTTCTTGGCATGCTGCCGAACACGCCATGTATTCGGCTTCGCTAGTTGAAAGTGCAACTGTAGGTTGCTTCTTGCTCATCTATCTATCTATCTATCTATCTATCTATCTATCTATCTATCTATCTATCTATCTATCTATCTATCTATCTATCTATCTATCTATCTATCTATCTATCTATCTATCTATCTATCTATCTATCTATCTATCTATCTATCTATCTATCTATCTATCATATCTATATATCGCCAGTGATACGATCATATCGTCTTTACGCCAGAGATTTTCCCACTCCGAAACCGATACGATCAGACTTTGCAACGCTTCGGTCCCGGAATCGGGCTGGTGGCTTCAAACAATGCCCAGCATGAACATCGGCACCCTCCTGGAAGATAGGGATTTCATACTCGCAGCGAAACTCCGATTGGGTTTGCCCCTGATGGAAGAAGTGACTTGCGCCTGCGGGAACGTAGCGGACCGCTACGGACTCCACCGCTTGAGTTGTGTGTCCCTTGCATCCGGGAGAACTGTCTCGGCACGCTGCAATCAACGATCTGGTAGCAAGAGCTTTAAGGCAGTCCGGAACAACAAGCACGAAAGAGCCCAGAAACCTATCAACAAACGACATGTTGAGACCCGACGGCATTTCACATGAACCATGGTCTCGAGGCCAACAACTCATCTGGGATGTGACAATCAGAGATTCGTTTGCACCGAGTAATAGACAGATAGCCAGATCAGCGCGGGCGGTGGCGGCCAAAGCCGAACAAGAGAAAAGGACCAAGTATCGGGAATTCCTCGAAACTTACACTTTCGTCCCTTTTGTCATTGAATCCACCGGCGTGTGGGGCTCGGACGCTCTGAAGTTGACAAAAGAAATCGGACGCCGTATAGTGGCCCGCGGTGGCGATCGCCGAGCTGCGATGTACATAAGACAGCGCGTCGCTGTAGAAGTACAGAGGGGGAACGCTAGGCTCGTTTCGGGCATAGAATACTGCCCTAGAACGTTAGGAGAGCTCGATCTTCTGTGCGGATGATAGATCATATCTACCATCTGTCGAATGCCAAGTTTCGGATAAATAAACGATTTATCTATCTATCTATCTATCTATCTATCTATCTATCTATCTATCTATCTATCTATCTATCTATCTATCTATCTATCTATCTATCTATCTATCTATCTATCTATCTATCTATCTATCTATCTATATATATAAAAACGTATGTCTGTTTGTCTGTTTGTTTGTCTGGTGTCACCTATAGACTCGAAAACGGCTGAACCGATCGTCGTGAAAATTTAGGAGCGTGTTCTGGGCGATCCAGCGGTGGTTATAGGGGGGTCAGTTCTCCGATGCGATGATCCGATGTCCGAGGTGACGTTTCCGTCATACTTGAGCTGCTGATCTACGGAGCCTCTCAAGTATCTGAGGATCCTTTTCACCGCCGACCAATGCAGGGGCGTACGCAGAGGGGGGCTAAGGGGGCTATAGCCCCCTCCCAGATGGTTTCTTCGAAATGCTGTAGTATAGGACAGAATCGCCATATTGGATTTCAGCCCCATGCGGAGACCCGATCTAGCCCCCCCCCCCCAACGAAAAATCCTGCGTACGCCACTGGACCAATGCGCTTGTGTTGGGTCCGAACAGGATTGACTCACTACTCCAACTGCATGCGAGATATCCGGTCTAGTCGTCTGGGAGAGGTGTAGCAAGCAACCGACTGCTTCGCGAAAGCGGGCCTCAGTGGCTTCGTCACTTTCCGTTCGCTTCCTGAGCGTCGAACCTGCCTCCAACGGCGTCGCGGTCGGCTTGGAGTCGATCATTCCGAACCTTTCCAGGATTCTCATGATGCTTTCCTTCTGATCAAGGAGAATCACCTTTTCGTTCGGTCTTTGCGTTATCTTGACTCCCAGACAATAATTCGCTGGGCCTAGATATTTGATGGGGAACAAGCGCTCCCGGTCGCCGCTTCGCGGCGACTCGGTATCGCTAGACTCAGTACACATGCGCTAGCTCCGAGTGCGCTGGCTCCGAGTGCGCTGGCTCCGAGTGCGCTGGCTCCGGGTGCGCTTGCTTCGGTCGCGCGTGCTCTTGGTGAGCGTCCCGTTTCCCCGCTTTCCCGTTTCCCCGCTTTCCCGTTTCCCCGCTCTCCCGTTTCCCCGCTTTCCCGTTTCCCCGCTTTCCCGTTTCCCCGCTTTCCCGTTTCCCCGCCATATGTACTCCGGAAAATCTATACCCTTCAAGGCTACAGCAATTTTCAGCGAGATTCATTAGTAGAGAGACAGAGGCCAATGATGACGGCAACCCCCGATAGCCTCCTTAGTTAGGAGCTCCCGAGAATCCACCTTCTCATGGCGATCGGTCCAGCCGATAAGAAATCCTGGGAACTCCCGTCTTTCCCTTGATGAAATCGTTGATACTCGGTGGGAGGACCACTCGAATAAATTTCTTGTGGTGGGAGGACCCATCACATGGGAACGACGACACTCATATGACCTTCCTGGAGCTCCCGAGAACCCATCCCTGAATTGTGCAGCGATCGGTTCAGGCGTTTGTGAATTTTGCGAATTTCGGATTTTTAAATTTTTTTCCGAGTTTTCGTATTTTCGTGGGTGGGGCACTCAAATAATTTTTTTAAGGTAGAAGGACTCATCGCATCGGAGAACTGACCCCCCCTATAACCACCGCTGGATCGCCCAGAACACGCTCCTAAATTTTCACGACGATCGGTTCAGCCGTTTTCGAGTCTATAGGTGACACCAGACAAACAAACAGACAAACAGACATACGTTTTTATATATATAGATAGATAGATATCGAGAGTGTAGACTTCTCGATAAGTCTCAAGATGCTCACTGCTCTGGCTTTCGTACCAGTGGCGCAGGTACGTACCAAAGAAAGAACGGTCCTGGCAACCGTTCTTTCTTTGGTTTGTGTAGGACGGCGTTCTTCTTGTGGATGAATGTTGTATAGATGAGGAGCAGACTTCTTCAACGGATGGTCTTCCGGAATCATTTCGAATAACTCTTCCAGGATTTCCCAACAGTCTTGGTCAAAGTTTTCGTTCTCCGAAAGACCTTTGCAGTCTGTCTCGTCGAGAATTTCTGTATCAACTTTCCTCAGTTGATTACGAGTTCCGGAGAGTTTTATGTACATTGCGGTTGCTTTGTACGTGTCCAGATCTTTGCTTTCTTGTACATTCTTGATCATAAACATACAGTGATTGCGGAGAGCATTTTGCAAGCTCTTTTGCTTGCTGCTTTGAGCTCTGGTAGTCATCGTTCCGATTTCTGAGGGAATCGTTGTTTACTGTCGACTGCGCCAGTACTGTGGTATGGTAATGATTAATGATACTTCTTTATTTAGATGTCACGACTTATATACTGAGGCTG